ATAATTGTTTTCAATCGTAAAGCGAGGAAAATGTGTGGAAATTATGTGAATATATCGCTAATAATGAAAGCAATTGTCTCAACGATTGTTTCGTTGTCTTCATATCTAATGAACAGAAAATGGTATTCATTAATGAATTAATTGTTTAATTAGTTTAATATGAATTATTAATTGTTTTGATGAATAGATACCACTTTGGAGGCAAAAGGCTGGCGATGAGCGCAGGGATTATCTCTGTGTTTGGGATTATCATGTATTTATTGGATTTGTTTTATTTCTGATTTAAATTTTCTAAATATTTGTATGATTTATATTTAGTTCAACCAATTGTTGATTAAATCTCAGTTAAATTTTCTTACGATATAATTACTATATTTATAGTTAATGGGAATTACATACTTTTATTATCCTTAAATTGAGATATTATTTTAAATTTTTACTTATTTACAAAATATGATAATTAAATGTTTATTTTTACAATTGAATAATTAATTTAAAAGATATTTAACTGAAAATATACTGATTTAAAGCGCAAAATTAATGTCAGATTAATTGTAGATTATTTGTGGCACTAATTTATTAAATTATTTAATAAATAACTATATTTTGTGTTTCATTAGTTAATAGTCATTCAACCATAAGTTAGTATTGTATTAGAGCCTATAGTTTATAAGACTTGAAATTGATTTATTACTTAATTGCTAACTATTTATCGCATGATTAATTAAAATTTGTATTAAACCAAATTTTGAGTTTTTTTAATAATACAAGTGATGCAAAACTTTTTAACAAAATTATAAATTTAATAAGTAATCAAAAAATTAACATAAAATCAAAGTTTTGTTAACAAAATACTAATTCATTACTCAATTGAAGCGATATTTAAATTTAAACAACATTTTCGGCTCAATTCACAAAATGATTATATTTTAAAATGCGTTTAAAATACACAGCAATCAATCAAATGAGTGGTGTTTTTAAAAAGTGAACTTAAAATAAGTTTTTAATTATTTAATAATTAAATTATTTCCGCGATTTTAAGCAAAATGTTTCTCACATTTATATATAGTATAGCATTGAATGCACTGTTCGTTGAGATAATTAATTAGTTATTTAAACGATTAATGCATTTAATTAAAGGCTTGTCTTTTCAGGTCGTAATGATTTATACGCCAAAAGCGGACGACAGTCACAGCACTGGTAGCCATAGAGCGCTGGTATACGACATGGACTCTACCCTTGAGTTTCCCATCGATTTTAGCACATATTCTGGCCTTACGTTCAGAGACGAGACGGCAATACGTGATGAATATCACCGACGGTTTCGTGTAATTGAGGCCCAAATCTATTTGACAACATTTGCCTCAAACCGGTCTCATATGCGACGACCCGAAGGCTCGTGGATTAAGGATCCGCCACTTTATCCCTGTATTAAGACTAATGAATGCGATCATAATCTCGACGGCTTTATATCAATGGATTGCCACCGATTCGCCATCGGATCCGTACTCGACATCAATCAATTCAACCATCGATTTGATCCCAAG